AGGGGGGGGGGGGGGGGGGGGGGGGGGGGGGGGTACTCATAGTCGTGCATGCCGTAGTCGTTAGACCATTGACCTCGCATCCCTACAAAAGCCGGGACGGAGCACGCCGGGTTCTCACCGGACCAGGCTCTCACATCACCAAGCGCGAAGCGCCGTGAGGTATTCGGCGAGTCGCATGAAGGGTGAGCTGCATCCTGCTAAGGGTGTTCGGCATCTTGTGCTTACTTCCTTGCATACGAATGACAGCTGTGTATGACTTAATTTATTTTCTGGTGCTTTCACTTCCAGAGACAGTTGTAAGCACTGTGTAACTGCGTCGAGGGTGCTTGACCATTTTAACACAACGCGGTGCGATCATCCTCCTTTGCGCGGAGTGAGGGTTCTCCACTCCGCACAACATGATCTACTCGACCACCATTTTGGTTACCGCAAAAAAAAAACAGAGGAAAAAAGAAAAACGGTAACCTGGTTGCCGAGTTCACGAAGTGAAATGGCTTGTTTTACAACGTCGTTGCCAAGCGACGGAAACCCAATCCCGATGGCAAACACCGAGGGGGGGGGCGGGGGGGGGCTACTCATGTTCGGCATGCCTTATTTGTTAGGCCATTGACCACGTGTCCCCGAGAGGACAGAGCGTTGTCCCCATAGCACCGATCACCGTTACAAGCGGGGTTTCGAAGATAATAAAGACACTGGTCGTTGTGATCGTTGTGATACACGCTGCTTGTTTTGAGGAGCCACTTGGCGGCGCAGCTTTTGGTTGCTCTTGTGCACACACCGGTGTCGCATCCCGTGCCTCTTTGTTTTGGGCGCTCTTCCGCGACTACTGTGTTGTATACCGTGTACTACATGTAGCGCTACTGCCACTGCGGAGTTGTCGAAGTGTCGGTTGGCTCGCCCTTTTTTGTTGGCGGGCTCTTGTGATGAACATGGTGGCGGCGTGTCCCACACCTCTCCTGCAGAAAACGAGACAGAGAGACAGGCGGGCAGACAAGACAAACGCACTGACAAACGGATAGAGACGGAGAGTGGTGGACGTAGATTGTTTGCGTGCCAGCGGTATATCTACACCTCCCGTCTATACCAGAACAGATAATGTGCTCGTTGGAGCCCGACCGTCCGCGTGGCTGCGCGGTAGTAACCCACACACACACACACACATCCCTACAGCCGCAAACACGCAAGAATGCGGCTTACGGTAGATGTGCAGCGTGTGTAGCACGCTCATATCGAAAGCCCTTCTATGGATAATGATGAATGATGAGGGGTCACCGGGCGGTTAGAAGCGTGGGAGCGGTAGCCACCCGGCTCCGAACGGATGCTTCGTGTGCAGTTGGTCCGCGACTCTGTGGCAGAATTCAACAAGTAACCGGTTGCTGACTTCGGCTCGGTCCTCTTCTCTCTTATTATTTTCTACAGGGTATGCTTACGTGTACCCGTTTTTTATTTAGCGTGTAAAACCCGGATAGAGGTCGTCGGCGAAAGTCGGACTACCGGCTTCGGCGTCACCAGGTTCTGTGCAGAGATCGTAACTGTTTCTTAGCGTGTGGCCACCCACAAGCAACAACGGCCCTCTTGTCTCTTGCAGTGTGTGTGTTCCCTGTTTGGGGAAGACATTTAGATGTACGCCTACGGATTACAGTCAGTCGGAGTGCGGACAAAACCCGGCTGTGCTTTGGGCAGAGGTCGGTGGGAACGAACATCCACGACGACCATACCCCTTCCCTCCCTCCCTCCTTCCCTCCCAATCGTTGCGTTAGACCTCCCGGCGAGGGACGGGTAAGGGGGCACTCGCCGGAGGGGGCGGAGGCGCCGGCGCCGGCGGCGTCGGCGGGGGCGACTTCGAAGGAGACTCCGGGATGATGAGGACGGCTTCGGGGGGGTCGTTGCGAGGAGTCGGGGGCTACGCGTCTCGCAACCAGCGGCAGCAGCAGCAACGCAGGGGGAGGGACCCTTACGACAACACCTACGACGCCGAGGAGGACGACGACGAGAGAGAAGGGGACAACGACGAGGACGACGACGACGACGACGACGCGGGCTATGACTCGGACACCATGAGCGTGATGGATCAGGACGCCATCCGAGCTTCCATGAGGAAGAGAGGCGCCAGGGGGACGGCGGGGGCGGGGGGTAGGCGCGGCGACACCGTCGATTACATCGTGGAGTTCGAGGTGAGGGGGGGGGGGGGGGTTGTGCCTGTTGTCTTGTGTGATTGTGATTGTAATTGTGCATGTCGTTTGTGTTTTGAACTTTCTCTGCGGCGCCGACCTCCGGGCTTGAGTATACCATCTGTATTCGGCTGTGGCATGTTCTTATCTAGCCCTGGCCTAGTAACTTGCTGGTACCTGCTTTGCGTTTTGTGTTCTATTTGGTACGAACGGTGTGGCGAGCTGTGATTTTGTTCGTACCGTCGGGTGTTGGTGCTGGTATTGGCTGTGGTGGTGGTTGCGTCGGAGGAGGCGGTCGGTTCAGCGATGCCCGTGCACTGTTTGTTCTGTGTGCAGTACGTTGTTTTGCTTTTTTTGGTCAGGCAGGTGTAAATGCCTTTCCTTTTATTTCTTGCTGCTTTTCCTTCGCTGTCTCTCTTCAGCGCGAGTGCAACGCCACACATTCGCCATCCTGTCTTGGCTTTGGTTTGGCGTCACTTCGTGTTCGTCAAGTTGATCCGACGATGTTCGTTTATCCCCATCCCTTCCCCTCCAGAGAGCAAGGAAGCTGGGCATGCTGTTGGAGCGGCACGACGAATGGCCCGACGGAAGGGAGAAGCGGTCGGAGCGAGCGATTGTGAAGATGGTTGTCGACAGCGGCCCGGCGAAGGTGGGTGGATTCTTTGTACCCGCCCTCCCCTCCGTGAAGAAACGATTGGCCATCGGTGACCGGTCCTGCACGAACAATGCTTCATCCTCTGGAGGACGCGTGGTCAATGGCCCAACCGCTAGGGCATATGATTACCCCCCCCCCCCCCCCCCCCCCCCCCCC